TTCCTTCGCGAGGGAACAGACGAAAGAGATGAAAATAGAAGAGCGAAACTCGGGAAGGGGGTAAAAACGTTTGGATCAATTTTCGAATAACGACATTTTCGTCGAATAACTTTTTCCAAAGTTCCACGACGCGTCGCGTCCGAGTTTTTTCGCGCTCGCTGCCCTCCGCACACGCCGGACCGCGTCGAACGGGAGAAAAAAGAGTGGCGTTTGAAAACAAAACGATTCCGACCACCGGCGGCGTTTTTCCACCATCGGTTATGCAGATCAGGGGACAGTTTGCGTTTTTACAGATTTCGTAGAACTTTTCCACGGGAATTCTTCGATAGAGCGAGGGAAAGTAGCTTTCCGATTGTTTAACTTGTCAGGTGAAACGATGAAATACGAGTTAATTGATCTCGATCGGAGAAGATCTCGCGAAAAGAAAAGCAGCCTCTCGACAGACCGAGTTGTTCGACTGATTAGCAACCCTTCACCCGCCACGTCTCTCCGAAGGTCGAACAATCGATGATAAATGGAATTTCAGTGGAACGGAGAAAACCGCAACGAAGAAAAAATCACAGAATACGTACACACGCGTGCATATTGGAGAGATTGCTTTTCGTTGGTATCATTGCAGTACAGGCACGTGGGTGATTACCGATGACTATCGAGGCCTGCGTTGTTTCCTTTGCGTTGCACCCTTTATGTTCTCCATCTCCTCCCGCTCTTTTTTTTTTCCCAACGGTGAAACGCCGCTGAACTCCTCCCGGACTCTTCCATATTGTCGTTGTTGCCGTTTGGATGGCGGGTAAAAAACAATGACAACTTCGAACAGAGAAATCGCGATGGCTTTTTCTTCTTTTTCTTCTTTCGCTATTTTCCACCGTCGCGGCTCCTCCAGCATCTCGGGCTGTTTATGTTCGGGGGGTTGGAACGGCGAGTCGCTCGTCCGTGACTTCTCGTCCCAGAGAAACCGGGTCACTTTTTCCCTACCGAAAGACACATTCCCGGACACACAACCCTCTCTTTTCGCCTCGTTTGAATATTCGAACCGTGAAAGTTTTTAATTTGAAACGTGACACTGCCGTTTCGACGAGTTTATTAAGAATCTCCTCCTCTCTGGCCATACTAGCGTATTTTTTCCCCCACGAGAAGATCGCGATATTCCACCGCCTGCGCTGTTCTACTCGAGACCCACGCTCCGCTAACTCGGCAATAAATAAATAAACGTTAATTGGGGGAGAGAGAGAAACTGTGTTCGCCTAGGCGAGGAACATTTTAATTATAACGCGGCAACCCGTTTCTACCTTGAATTTAAAGGGGCGTGTAATCATTAAGGATATCCAGGAGGTGGTGGAAGAGGGAAAAATTTCTGGAAAGCCGTCTGGTTTCAGCGAGACTGCATCATCGTTCCGCGTAATGATCCGCGCGTGGTGGTTCCGCGGGAACAAAAAGCCGGCTGCAGCGGACTCTTGGCCTACATGCGGGGACACAGGGTGAAAAAGGAGCGCGCGGGTAGTCTAGCTTTCTACGCCTCCGTTGAAATATCGACCAGAAACCGTGGATGACTCCGTGGCGTTGCCTGGCTTTTAAATCATCGCCGCCATTGAAACACGGGAGGAACGCTGACTTCTCAGTCAGCAAGCGGAAAAATAAAGAGAGAGAGAGAGGAAAAAGAAGAAGGATTTGGTTCCGTTCGGGTGAAACGTAATGGGACTAATGAATTTTTTTCTCTTCCCTGTACGCAGAATGAAAAGTTGGAGAATACCTCGCCACTCTTCGCGGATCTCTTCTTTCAGTTTTCTAGGTCAGATACAACCCTTCGCGATTATCAACAGGCTTTGAAACGAAGCGAGACCGATTTCGGATAGAATTTTCGTGGAGTTTTGAATGTGAGTCACAGCTATTAATCAGATTTCCGCGAGAAACCGTGTGGCAGGATGATTAACGAGGTTCGCAACTCGCGCGATTCTTTCCACCGACGAAACGAATATTCTCAAGATCGATGATATCGTTAAGAGCGAGAGATCCTCGTGACGATCCTGTGCTCCATGGCGCGAGAGGAGAAACGACGCGGTTCCGCGAGAATGTCGGTGCAAACGACGATGTTCCACCTTGGGTCGCTCCATTTACACCGGGGACAATTGTCCTCGTTCGCCATTATGGTCGTTCTTGTTGTACGATCGCACCCGTGAGATGACGTTCGAGGAGAACGTAGATGAGCCATGTCGTCCGTAAATCGAGGAACGCCGGTGTCGAAAATCTTTATTTTTATTCTTCGAACGGGACACACGAGGGCTAATGGCTGAGAACGATCAACGACACGGCGACGAAAGGCATTTACAAGGCAAATGGACGAGAGAAATTGATCGATGGCCTCGAGTAGCAGGGGACACGCGGCAGAGAGAAAAAGAGGAGAGGCTGAATGGGGAATTTTCGTTTGATCTCTGGCGGCCATGTGTACGAAACTGGCAGGGAAGGAAGAGAACTAGGGCAGGTCACGATTTCGAGATGGGAAGGATCATGGAGAGAAGAGATATCGACGAAATAAGTAAATTTAATTAAAACTCGCTGGATGATGGATGAACGGGCGAACGTACGGTCGAGTGGACAAAGAGATAAGTGGATTTTATTTTCGTTCCACAGGGGGAATGAGAATTTTTCGAAAGGTCCTCCGCTGTATGTGTCTGTGGTGTGTGTAGGTGTAAGTGTACTGTGCGGCTGGATGAAACAAGAGATAAGGCAAAGTGGACGAAGGTGTAATAATGGAAATGCACCAGCGTGTACATACGCTGCATAAACGGCAAGATAAAGAAATTTAACACACGGTTGGCAAGCGGAAGGGAACGATTAAGTGGCGTAGCGTTAAGAGCCAGCCAGCGTAATTAATTAATTGAGCAAAGTGGCGGACAGGACTTACATGAAAAAGAAAGAAAAGAAACTGGACGATACGAGAGTTGTTACATGCTAAATTACACGGCTTCCCTTCGTTGATAAATCCCGCAGAAAGGAAATGGCACTCTGATATATTTATTTTTCTTTATAAATAGTAGGATGTTAAACCGCCCTCCTTAATGTCACACGTGAAACGGATGATAATTTTCTCGAATTTCGGTGCAGTTTGTGCGGTGAAAAATAGCGAGCGGGAAGGTCGTGGAGTAAAAACAGACGTAGAAAGCGAGGGAAGGAGTAGAATGAACGTCCTGTCTCTGGCTTGGACTTCAAAGTACCATTTCAGCTCGCGGGAAACAGTGCAAATAGAAGGGACGGGGGATAGCGCGTAAAGAAAGGGAAAATGGTAGACGGCGCCGGGACAGAAGTAGTATTAATTTCCTCGAGCCCGGAGGTCCTGGCACATCATTCTCCTGGCAGACAGCAAGAAAGACGAATCCCTTTCGCTTCCCTTCAGCCGAGTCCTCCGTCTACCTCAGCCGATATTACCAACATTATACACGCTGGGATTCACGCTCAAAGCGTGCCAGTTTCACGTGCCAACGAATCCGCCGTGAAATCTCGCGAAAACCACCTCTCGCGACTCACCGAATCGCCTCTTCCTCTGTTGTTTTTCTCCCTCCTTTTTTCTCTCTATTCGTAATACCTCGTCGCAAATAACGGACGAGAACCGGACGAGGAGAGAAAAAAAATCGACCAATTTTCTGTCACGCAAGCATCGACAACGATGGAGACCTGTCACGCCTCGTCGAGTAGTGACTCGACGTTAAGCATGACGGACGTGTAAACGAATAATAACACCGTGTGAAGGCTGCACCCCTTCAAATCCATCGATTGAATTTCCCTAGGCTATGCTACAGCGTAGAGTAAAGCGCAGATTTATCGAGAATTCGCGTGTTCATCGCGAGCAGCGAGGTTGCGAAACAGCGAAACGGGTCTCGTTCGTCTTCGTCCAACTTCGAAACGATTGTATCGCGACATTTTTTACTATCACGTAAACACTCACGGGTAATTGCGCGAGGGAGAGAGCATTACGAAAGACAAATTTCCCTTTGTTTGCCGTTAGTTCTCTGGTCGAGTTAGAGCGGGAGGTTGGATGGATGAACGAGGGAAAAGTTAAGAGCGGAGAACTGGCTAACAGATTCGCAAACAGCCTTCCTATTTTTACGCGCTACCCTTTTCCGGTAGCAGCGGTATCGCGTTGCGAGGAAAAACGAACAGCCGGATGTGTTTCCGCTGTAAACACGATTTTTCCTGGGAAAGAGGGAGAGGAGATCCCTGTGTCTCTCCCTCTCGTTTGGTCGAGTAATAGGCAAGGAATTCTCTGCGAATCCGCTTAATCTTTCGGTAAACTAATAAAACTTCGTTAAGACCGTCCAAGCTCCGGCCATTTCCATCACTCTCGAGCTTCCAGCGAACGCGACCGATTCCTGTCCGTTCTGCCTCCTCCTTTTTCCACGGAGGTTATCAAGTCGAAGGTGAATTCGATCATAAATGTTCGCTGGGAACGAAGTTCTGCCTTCTACGAGGGACGCGAAATTCGATTAATCGATTCGGAGAAGCCCTAAATTTCCAGGGAGATTGTCTCTGAAAGGAGCAGCTAATTCGATAGTTTTCGGTCAAGATTGATAGACCGAATTTTATCTCTAATTTCATCGTACGAACGTAGTTTCCTCTTTATTTTCGGTAAAATGATTGCCATTACGCACCGCGTGCATTAAGTTCCCTGTTGCGAAATAATTTTCAGCAGAAACTTGACGTACCTCTGCAACCTGCTGTATAAACTCGAAGGGAATAGCGTCGCGGCTATCAGGCTGATTTACAATGTTTGCTCCCCGGGGTAAACCGTTAGTTTGTCGTCGTCTATTATCCCTATGGTTTGTACACCGAGTATAATCTAAATGGAGCGAGGCAAACAACCCGAACGAGAAACAAAACAACGACAACTTTTCCCCGCTGCGAGTTACTTTTAATCTTTCCGCAACTATCAATTCCGTCGCTTCGACTAATTGCAGAAGAAAGGGAGAGACGATATTTAACGCGTATTGCTCGGGTTTTGTTTGCAGGAGCTGTTGGTGGCGAAGGAGGAGACGAAGATGACAAGGAGAAGGAGGAGGAGGCTGAGAGGGACAGGTTGGAAGCCATGAGAGAGGCTGAAGAGCGAAGGAAGGAGAAGCATCGCAAAATGGAGGAAGAACGAGAGAAGATGCGACAGATGATGAGGGACAAGGTAAGACGATAATTCCCTATTCTTTCTTCTTCTTTTCTGCCGCGGCGAGCCCTTAAACCAAAACTCAACTTCCCCGCCAGCCAGCCAGCCTCGTTTCTTAAGTTTGACACTACGAATTTAAAGGGCTTTCGTTAAACAGCAAAACTGGTCTCTCACGATTTTACCATGGGATATAATAAACAAGAGACGAGAATGAGTTTTAGTTTGCAAGTTCTTCGACAACTTGGTTGAAACGACTTCTGAAAATGTGCTCGTTCGAAGTTTTAATTTGATCCGATTATGAAATCTAATCTCAGTCGAGGAGGGAATGCAAATTTTTCTCCTTTCCCTAGTTTCTTCGCGAAAAAGTCGCGTTTACCTGCTGAATACGCCTCTTTTCTCTTCTTTTTTTCTTTCATTCTTCGATATTTTTTTCACGGCAGACCAATTTTCCAGTCCACGTTTCGTCGTCCCTGAACGAGAGCGTCAAAGGAATTCGAAAATATTTTCGAAATGCTGCTATCGAGCGGAATGCAAACCATACGGACGAGGCGTATGAATGATAAAATAGGCCGGATCGAAAGTCTCGCGCTTATTTACAAAGGTACCGGAGCGGCATTGAAACGCGTGGAAAGCCCGGAGGCACGTAAGATACGCGTGTATATCCGCCTTCTGTGTGAAAGAGAGAGGAGAGAGGGAGAACCGGTGAAACGTTCGAAAATTTCAAAGGGGAATGCTGGTAAAAAGAGCACGTTAAAGCGGATATTTTTCGAGAGCATCCGTTGATAGAAAAACAGGTGCAGATGCACGCATCGTCGAAATAACTCCGCAACAAGACTCCGATTTAGGAGCCTTCCATTAACCTTTAAACGAGTTATTTCAACGAGAAAGCAACTTCTAAAACTTGTGGATCGTCCGCTAGAGAGAGAGAGGAAGACAGAGAAAATGACCGCGTTTTTCCCACCAGACTATGCCACGGGAATCTGGAAATTTTCAATTACGAGTTTCATTTTCCTTCGATTCCTCGCGGGAGAGCTGCGAGGAATCCCGGCTAGAAGAACACCGCGAGCATTCTTCGGGGACAAAGGATTCTCGCTTCTCCTCTCGCGACCAGCCACGCGGCCGCCAGATATCTTTAGGACGTCTTTTCATGGGCCTGGAATAGGAACACCTGGCTTCGTTTGCCGATGGATTCACCGGATGTCTGCGTGCTTCCGGCATCGCCGCAACCTCCATTTGTCGGAACGAGTTTCATCCTCTTTCTACGAGTATTAGCCAGCCTCCTTCTATCCCACGATTACTACCAAGAATAGCGTTTCTCCTCAACTCAAGAATGCCTACCCTCTCCTTCTCAGTTATATATTACCGATTTCTTAATATCGTAGCCGAGCGCGGACGGCGACGGAATTAATTCCACCCTCTCTTCGCAAGGGAAATCTAATATTTTAGTATCACCTCCACCTCTCGCAGTCCCTTACATTCATGCCGAAACCAATCGAATCCCGAAAGATTACCGCGTAACCATAATGTCCCCCGTCAGCTGTGCAAATTCTCACCGTTTTCTTTCTTCGTGTCTCTCCATTTTGACACGTTCTTCTCGAACGTAGAGTGAAAAACGAGCGCTTCCTTTATGTTTGAATAAAATTTATCGTTTTTAAAAGGGGAGAGTGGATCTTTTTCCCCCGACGAGTAGTTTCGAGTGCCGCGTTAAATTCCGAATTCCATTTCCAACGAAATTGGCCCACTCGACGAAGCTCGACGAATTCACCGCGGTATTCAATGGAAAATAGGACAATGATCTAACGCAGCTGATTTTATAATTCGAGTATATCGAACGCTCGTATTTTGTCAGGGGGCTGCAATCAGGCTAATTAGTCGTGACGGGGCGATGATACGTAACCGTTTGATCAACGGGAATCATTGTTCACGGTTCGTCCGCGGTTTGTAATCGTCCTCGATAATCACACTAACGAATAATCCTCGAAGCGCGATTATTTTCACGTCACCTACCTATACGACATATACACACACCTACACCGGCTCGATTTTGCAAACTTTCACAAGTACCTGGGACAATTTCGATGGCGAACAATGCGCGGTAATGGCGGCCCATTCTGCGCCACTGTCCCACAGCGCGAAAAATAGCGCTCATTTGACCGTTCAACCGCCACATCCCGTTATTTCCAAAAAGCCGACTCGCGATTAATGCGTTTATTTTGCTAAACGCTTGGTAAAGCACGTTTCTACCATCTCTCCGACGGAAGAATCAATCGTAAATGTCAATCGCACACTTCTCTCGTAAATTTCGTTGATTCGAGAAGAAAAGGTTTCCTCGCCACTCTGTAAAAGAGGAAATATACATCGCGTACCGTTGAAAATAAAAATGAAGGAAAAACGTGTCCTTCGCCTAATTAACCAGCGAAAAGAAAATTCCTTCTAAATTGCATCTAGAAAATTCTATCCACTCTCCCTTAAATTAGCGCAAATTCCCGGCAACCTTGCTCTCTCTCTCTCTCTCTCTCTCTCTCCACGATTCGTGCAATTCTAAACCGCGTGAACGGAAATTATCCCGCACTCGACTCGGTTTATACGATTTATACTTCGTGATAAACACCCTCGGCGGTTTCGTGCCGCAGAAACTCACTCCTCTCGGTAGACGCGTGCATACATACGTGTGTACGCCTGGACATATTTAGACGTAGAAGAACAGGCCGCGAACGTGACGGACCTGTTCGGCGTGCTCGCGGTGCCGCTTCGTAATCAAATTTGCATTTTAAGTCGGCCCGTTCCCACTGCAAGCTCCCCTCTCTCTTTACTGCCGCGAGTACGTGCAAACGAGTGAGCGTCCGCCACGGAAACTCTCACCCATCTCGGACAATTTATCTTTTCGGTGACGTTTGCCGGATTAACGTCTTCTTGTCCGACGAATAATTATACCTCTCTTTGCCACACCATCTCGCTCCCTCTATTTTCCACGGTAATCGCGAGATCCACACACTTTCCACTTAACCCTTTCACCGCTATTGACGCCTATAGGCGCTTTGAAAATTTGTTTTTCTTTCTGCCATTGGAGCCTTCTGGCGCTCTTTCGTATTAATTTAAGCACTGTTTCGCGTTAATCCGATGAAATGCAAGGAAGAGAATTTTGCGGCCGTTGTGGAACGTCTGAATCTGCCACGCGCGTTGTGCACTGAAATTTGCCGCATCGAAAGGGTTAAAAATTTGTAGCTCTCTGTTGACCGATTAATTGGTACGTAGAAGGAAAAAAATGTGTAGGAAAAACTTCACTTTTCTCAACTCTCGAGACAGGTCTCTCTGCGTAGAAGAGTGGGATTGGTATTTTTAGCTGGGCGTACACAGGACCGCGGCAAAACTCGCTTTGAAGTGTTTGCAACTCTTCTCGTATTCAGCGACGAATGTTCGGGCAACTTTTCGCGGTGGCGCTCACGCCAGGAATACCGTGAAACATTTACGAGCCGTCCCCGTGAAACGGAATTGTTTATCGTGGACGGTGTAACAAAGCCTGGTCATAGGCTCCGTTTCGTCGGAAACAAATTCAATCTTTCTTTGCTTCACGGCCAGAAGTCGGAAAGTGGGCGGTGCTTTTGTGCGGAGAGTAAACGTGTAAATATTGGAATTCGCGTGAAAAAACGAATTACCGAATAAAGTTATGAAATTGTCCGAATGGGGAAAACTTGAAAAATGTCTCGACGTGGTATTCGGCCAGGAACTCCACCGCAACGTGCGATGAAAAGCTCTTTTCCAACATGATCGATTTAGCCCCGGCGAAACAAACGATGAAATGGAAAAAAAAAGAAAAGGAAAAAACGGAAAAGGAAAGAACGAAGAGTTGAACAAAGAGTCGAAGAGATAGGATGGGACAAACAGAATGTCACGCGGAATCGTGCCATTGTCAATCCTGATGTATTGTCCTGTCAGCAACGGTAGTCAGCGTTCGCTGACATGACCCAGATGAAATCGAGGGCTCTTACGGCGAATAATCGTGAAAAACACGTATATAGATATGCATTGTACCACGGTATTAAATGAATAACTCTCGAATGATCGGCGTGACGTCGCGCAATTAAATCTTTCGGCGGGGACGCGTTTGTTCGTTCGAGTGCTTGTAAAATTACGGAGGATAACGCCACTTTCGAAACGACCGACTCGTTGCAACGCCCGGCTCTCCCTAAACAATTCAAAGTTAATGGGGACGCTGCTTTTGACGTCCGAGCGAAAAATTTCCCATTGAAATTCTCCCGTATTGATAAACCACGATCAATCTTGCGTGGCCGAAAACGTTTATTCGATACTGAAATACAGCTCATTTGCGATATTATTAGTACACAGCGGTATGTATAGATCTCTGGTGAACTAGGAGGATTTTATCGAAAGCTATACGCGAGTTCAGAAATGTGAAAGGGTTAACGAAGGTCGCCGGACCAATGGACCGCTCTCGAATGGTAACGATGGCACTGGTACCACTTCCGTGCTGGACACGGCACCAAATCGGAATCGACTTTCGCGGAAATTCCCCGCAAAGTACAGATTACGAAAATTGAAACCGCTTTGCATCTGCATGCAGGGTGCACGGTGAGCATCGTTACGTTTCTGAAATATCACTCCCTCGTTAAACGAAACCGAACCCCCTCCAGTCCAGGTATCTCGTTACCGTGGTTTCAGTTCTCCTGGTTCATTTCCACGCCACTTTCCATACCCTTCTGTATGTTTAGAATCGAACCTCGACGGAGACTTCTCAATCTTGGCGAGAAGGTCAGAGTTAACAGAGATTGATACTCGATTAGTCGAAATAAAAATGGATCTCTGTTCGAGTAACAACGAACGGAGAAAAACTTGGTAGATATAATAACATCGGTGATCCCCTTGAGAATAAAGATGTATTCTTAAGCGGAAGCTATTCCGCAAGGAGCTTTTCTTCGGTAATCGCGCCGGCATCACCGAGGTCAAAGAAAATCCGATTACCAACCTTGGCTAATGATCATCAGGAAGAGATTTCGTTA